CAAAATTGTAATAGCGGTAAGTTGGGTCGAATCCACAGGAACTCGGTTTTAACTTATTATTGCCAAAGAGTTCAAGTACAAGAACAGTTAATTAAAATAAATATGAAGGGGGGGGTTAGATTTGATTAACTAGACTAAACATGTGATTAAAAACTAATTGAAAATGATGAATTTAAAACCCAACATTAATTTACATAAAATTAAGATGTTCGTACTTATCATTGATTCCAAAAACGTAAGCATAAAGAACAAACTCAAGTTGATTATAGTCGTTATCAAGCTCTAATGACTTCTATTTTTCCTAAAATTTATATCGGTTGAAATAAGTTCTTTAACCGGATCTTAATTACAAATGGGAATTCAAATAAGCTCTCAAATTTCCAGGTATGATTAGCTTTATCAGACTAGAAAAAACACCAACTCAAAGCCATAAGCTCGTAAGCTCGGCTTATCAGGGATTTGACTCCAAGATTTCAAGACTTCAACTCGGAAACCTCATCGAGACTAAATGAAATCAACTGTTACTTTATCAAAGTTCCAAGACATTTACGTATCTAAGCCATTGAATAACAATTTTACATAAGAACTTCAATTAATTGATCAGACTAATTGAACATTCAAATGAAGTTAACATTGAAAACATAAATCAAGCAATGAAGTTTGTCCCAAACGATTACAATGGAATCTCAATTACCCGGTAAGCGTTTACCGTTAAGAGTGAATACTATAATTTATTTTATCGGGTAAGATTGTAGTACATCAAAACGCATCTTTTGTAACAATTTACCTGGTAAGCGCTTACCCGGGTAAGAGTCATCACCCTCACTTATTGGGTAAGACTCTCCATTCTTATCATCGCTCTTACCAGGTAAGATTCTTACCCTTTGCCATGTTCATTCAATAAGGAAACTACTTGCTTAGAAAACTTTGATACTCCATCATTCATCTCCCAATGACTCTTTCGATTATGTCATCTGCATGAATTCAAATATCTGTATTAAAATATAATCGATTTCTTGTTATCAACTAAGAAGACTCTTTATCTTTTGAAAAAAATTATCAACCATATGAGACGGTCCAACTTATATTTATATCTATGATTTCAAAACTACCTTTGTTTTTTCGTACACTATTGACTCATCATTATCTAATATCGAGCGCATGAATCTTAAGTACTCTCATATCTCTAAAACAAGAATAAGATCTCAAGCTATAAGTTATAACCAATATAGATTTTTGATTCTAAAATTGATGGTTTCGGAAAAGTTTGTTTTAAACCTAAATGTTTAAAACAGTAATGAAAAACATTAACCTAGGGTGAGACGGAACCCCAACTGATTTTTTATTGATTTACATAGAGTGTTACTATTAGTAAGTAACAATGAGACTCCAAATGATGTCAATCTATATATAAAAGGTATATCACATGATGTTTTTGATGTTGAAATGGATTAATGGCTATGTGAAACTGATATGGTAGATAATATTATTTTAGAAATAATTATTGATTGATTTTGCATTAAGGATTACTCAGAAAAATTATTATTTTTATGTATTATTAAGATTTCTTGAATTCAATGTTATTTATGATGATAAAAATGATATATTACAGATTTTTTTCGTACTTTTTTTTGAAGTATATAATATTTATATATGGCAAATGCAACAAATAAACTCACACACACCCTCCTCACCTATAGTAAGATTTGAACCCCTGACCTCTTAAGAGGCCAAGAGCTACAATACCTTTAGGCCAAAGACCCTTTGGTTTTTTTTTCGTACTTATCGATGACTCTTTGGTTTTACATTTAAAGTATTTACCATATACCCACTTTATAAACTGTAAACAATAAAAATGGAAACTTGACGGTTTTTGAAAACTCATATATTTTTTTCATAAGAACAGATTAAGTTTTAAAAACCCACATACATAGCTCGATTAAAAAATATAAATTAATTATGAAACTTTATAATGAAACAAAAAATGTATATTTTTTAAACTTGATATATATATATATATATATATATATATATATTTTGACATATTTTATAAATTAATTATGTTGACAGAACATTGTCTCCTCTTAAATTAAATATTCATACTAATATAACAAAATACTTTAAAAATACTATTAATTAATAAAACTCTCAATCTTTTAAAAAATGACATAAATTCATAAAATAAAATCAAGAGAGAAGAAATAGAAATGAACGTTTGAATGTACTAATCAAATTAAAGGAAAAACAAATACCAACCACAAAACTAATCACATTTGAGTTTAACTAGAAGCGTACTCGTGCAATACAGCGAGATATATCGTGATTTTAATATTTTATTTTATTTTTTTATCCCAGTCAATGTTATAATATGGCTTTACGTGATTTTGAGAAAGCGATGATGTTTTTATTTTTGAATAAGATATATGTTTGAAGATATTATAAAAAATTGACAAAAATATATCGATATTAGTATCAAATTAACTATTT